TTTTTGCTTGCGTCCTATTTTTCTGTTACGGCTTCTTGTTTGACGAAAGCCTTTGAATTTATCGCGAGCTTACTGAACATTTTATGCAAAGTTGAATGTTTGCCAGCCACGTTTCATACAAACCAATTGAAAAGCAGGCCAAAAGTAGAAGAAGAAATATAAAAAGAGCACTCGCCTAAATTCTGCTTTTAGAGCATTGCCTAAATGGTTAAGCGCCAAATGGCTGACGGTAGCATTTCTTAAATTGATTTACAGTACAAGTAGCTGCTTAAGTTAACTTAGCGGCTAAGTCTGGAGATCAAAACTCAAAAGGATCTGATGTGAAGAGAGGAGAGTATGGGAGAATAAAGAGAGAAGGAGATAGAGTTAGAGAATAGTCCTTAATTTACCTTTATTACATTTTAAACATAAATGTCGCATGTTTTCAAAATTATAAATATATTCTTTGTAAATGTTTTGCACTTAACAGACGCTGGCTTAACTTTTAATAGTTCAAGTCCACCCACTTCGTCTAATGAGGCACTAAACTGCCATTAAACAACGTAATCCTTTTATATAATTCAAGCGCTTCAGATAGCAACAACGACAACAAATATAAATGTGCTACTTGAGTGCACACAGCCAAAATAAAAAATAAAAACAGCCCAAATCTCGGAAAAAGCATTAATTACGTGTAGATTTTCGCGTACTGAGACGAACTGTAGTTGACTTTAATATTTATGGTCTGCGCGAGGAGGAAAAATGTGCTGCTTAAATAAATAACTGAATGGAATGCCAAGCAGCGTCAATGGCAACCAGCTGGCGGGCGCTGACGCATAATTATATGAAAATTCGCAATAATTATAAATAATGCAAATAGCGTGCAATATGTTAATGCAGAGCGAAGCACTCGCCACTTCCGATAGCGCGGTACCAGATGCTGAAATGACGATAATGATGTCGAGTGACGAGCTTTATCCATCTACTACTGCCGCGGCCACTCAACGGCAGCACCACCAGCACCACTCAGCCAACCTCACCCCACCCACTTAACAACTACAAAATTTACGCTTCCCGTCAGAGATGCGGTGTAAAATTAAATCAGCTTTGACAACAGCAACAGCAAAATGGGCAAGATTATATATCATTGCAATTTTCCACAGCTTGTAATAAATGTTGTTTGGCTTCTCAAATTTTCTCTTCTTACAACCATTATTGAACAGCAATTAGAGCTGGCGAACGAAGTGCATAACCTTTTGAAGTGGCTAAAAAGCGACAAATTCCTTGGCATTTCCTTGAACTTTACCGAATTTCCGCTTAACTGAGCATGTCATTCAGATGGGCGCACTTTAGTGCATCAAGAGTTGAAGTGGGCGGGGAATAGAATCAATAAATCAGAGAACTCAAGTATAACATTTTGGAATAAAAATTTAAATGTGTTGTATATTTTGCTTTAATGATGGTTTAACAAATCAAACAATATAGCCAGATCTATCTTTACTATCTTTATACTTTGCTTCAGTTATACTTAGTACAAGCAAAAACTCAACGGACTAAGCTAGCGCGCAACCAATATTTGTCTGCCAGAATAATAGTTAGAATGTCAATCATCAAAAGCATATAATGCATTCACTGAATCTTCTATTTAAAAGTAACTAAACAGTTAGATAGCTAAACAGCAACGATTGGCGTATATTATTTACGTTTTGTGAATTTGGACTAAATTACAAACATGAATTTAACATGGAATCATAAAATAAATAAAAAGAATATCGAGGGCATGGGTAGTTGAACTGAGCGTTGGCCAACTGATCGCAGTGTTTAATGATAAATTCTTGCTTATGGTATTTATTTAAGCTTATTGAGGCCATGTCTAAAGCAACTTACCACACAAGGATAAAAAAAAAAATGATTGAAAATACCCCACAACAGTTTTAGTGGATTATCTACTTTCAAAAACAGAAGTGAGTTTGCGTTGTATTCAAATTGTGCGCACACGAACAGAAAAACGAATCATTATGGAAGTTTCAATCTCTTTATGTACTTAATAACATTTTCTGCCACAGTTCACAGTAGACCGACCCTGCTAGCGGTAATTTGATTACCAACACATTCACAGCTCACACACACACACACAGTCACAGGCAGGTTTATGTGAGATCTGCACACTCATTGCGGCATAAAAAACTGTTTGTTTGCTTATCGCGCGGCCATTTCAAAAACAGTCGATATAAAAAATATTGCGAATTACCTGATGTGCCTCGCTTGTGCTACGTATTTGTGTTTGTCGCTTTTGACTACTGAAATTATTTATGACTAAAAAATGTCAAGGGCAGAAGCCCTCTCTCTCTGCGGGCGTCATAATAAAAATAACATTTTTTGCAGCTCCAGTTGACCTCATGGTAGCCGCAGGGCCGCGGCCTTGTTTTATGTTTTCATTTTATTATGCATGCATATATATATATATATATGTATATCCCTTTTTTTATTTTTTGGTTTATGTGGCCAGGTACTAACTGGAACTACTAACGTTTGATGGTCACCGAATGACTTGGTATCTAGGCTGAAAACTATATGCAGTTTATGTGGCTTACGGCCAGAAAATCATATCATTAGCTATTGCTCTTCGATTCAAAATTGAAAATCTTTACGTAAACATAATTTCGTGCCTAGTTAGTGGCATGCAGCTTGATAGCTTTATCGTACTTATCAAATATAACGAATGTCACGGCAGCTCTACGGCAAAATTATTATTGCGGACAAATTTTATGAAGTGCCCTTAGGAACTGCATAGCGTGCTGACGGAGACAGTCCTGTCAATAAGTTGCCACAACTGCATTTCACATTTTTCCTTAATATCATATCAGACAAAAGCAAACGACGGAGGCAAATGTTTCATGTCAGCCGAAAGGAAGTCTATAAATATTCTTTAGAGTAAGACTGTGAGCCTATTTCTTTATTAATAACCCCAACGAAAGGAAGTCTATAAATATTCTTCAGACTAAAACTGTGAGCCTTTTTCTTTATTAATAACCCTAACGTTTAGTATATGCCTTGAAAATGTTTTTTCTTCCTTTAAATAACCAAACGTTTTGCATGACTACATATAGAATTCTTGTTTTTTTTTTTTTTGTTATTCCTGATCGAAAAGTCATTGGGGGGATATGTTTTGGCCATTTCGAGTGTTAGCCGGAGTAGTTTCTCAGTTTGTCCTTTCCACTGTAACGTCCATACATTTTTGTACATTCGTTTAGAATTCCGGGGCATAGAATTCTTTTCATGCATGTTAGAATTCTCTTGTATTCCATTTTACTTATATTTTTGGAATCATATAATATTGAAAGCGATACTTTTAGTTTCGATTAGGAAATAGTTAGAATGACATACCTTTTTGGCATTAGTTTTACAGGGTATAAATTCAGCTAAAACCTTGCAAATCATTGGAGCATAATTTGTACAACAATTTCCGCCGTGCCCAGGGATTCGGATTGAATTGAACGGATGCGCAGCTAAAGCTGTTGCCGGTACTCGAGCTAAATACGTGGCTGCTGCGGAACGGGTGGGTCGATTGCTGTCTGTCAGTTGAACTGTGGTAAAAAGTCACAAGTGCGTTGAACTTCAGCGAAGCGTAAATGTTTTCTCGGCCTTGTTTATTTTTTCCTTTTGGCTTTAGTTTTGGCTTAAGTCCATCCGGATATTTGCTACGGACAGGGCAACGATAACTTTAGCCCCATCCTTGGACAATTGATTTGGTTGAGCGGGCTCTGTGGCTGATTAGTACAATTTCAATTTTCACGCGAACATATTTGAGCATAGCCAGGGGTCGAGATTTTGGTCTTGTCAGACCCAGCACGAAGGAAATTTTATGTTTGATTGAGCAATATTTTTGTTTGCATGGGGTGATTTTGAAGGAACTTTATGTTTAGCAGCGGCTCCTTTTCAATGTTGCCCCGTCATGTAATTTTACAAAGTTTGTTAATGTTTTATTTTTGTTGAGGAATCTAACAGGCAGTCAGACTTCCAGCTGAGTTTCCAATAGCATATTTATAAATGTATATGCAATATTCTTACTGTGCGAGCCATTTCTGAATGTTCGATTAAATATTAAAACAGCCTTTTCTTGGCAAGTTGGCGCTGTGTCTAATTAATTGACCAACTGAGCTTTAAGAGTTATTTTTAAATATTTTCTAGTATCTAATGGAGTATCTAAATCATATTCATATTAATAACAAAATGTTTATATACCCTTGTAGAGAGCATTGTAATTTTAACATGCAATGTGTAATGGCTTAAAAGAAGCCGTCTCCCACCACATAAAGTACCGACTGTCTGTTGCTAAGCGGACTAGTATTTCAGTTTGCATATTTCCGTCAGGCAGTAAATATTTAGGAACAATCAATGCAAAAACATTTTATTGTACGAACGTATCTTGACCAAAGGCGGCATTAATACGTTTCGCCATGCTACGTCCATATATGCAAAATCTTTTTAAAAGAAAAAAGTAGGTTCTTCTGGCAAAATATTCTGTTTTCCAAGCATTTACGAGCTTTACAAGATTTACGATCTTTCAAAACGGAATTAGCTTTTGAAAATTCATTGGCATCTAACACAGATATTTGTGTCTTTTTTAAGGAAATAAAACCAAGGCATTTTACAACTCACAGTCCTTAGGACTAGAATATATTTTGTGCTTTCATTGAATTCATAGTTTTGTGGTCTTTAATACATGCTCCTTTCATCAAATTAAACTGAAACTTATGCGCTTTTTAACTATGAGCAAAAAGACGGAAGAAAGAAAAGACGTTAACGAAATTTCATCATATTACCGCCTGACTGATATCTCGTCGCAGTATTTTTTGTATTCACGTATCTCAGCCAAATGGAGCACGTAGCAAGAATAGCAGAAAGTAGATAAAACATTATCATCTTTCGCCTGGCCTGCATCAGAAATCAATTTGTTCAATTGGACTTACGGCAGCAGCTTTTTTATGCGTTTTTAGAATAATGTTGCATCGACTCACCTGTCGTTGGATTATGGCGCGCCGCTGACGACAGATTGAGATTCCGTGGCAGTGTCATGCAATCCCCGTTGCCGCCACCGACACCGCCACCGCCGTTGCCGCCTGTACTAGTGAGCAGCACATTGCCGCGACTATCCACGAGGGCGGTGCCACCGCCCGCCAAATTTAAGGCGCCTGTGTTGCGCGCATAGTTCAAAGTTGCGGCATGATGCAATTGACTTGCCTTGGGCAATGTCATTAGTCCGGGATTGTAGCTAACGCTGCTGCCTGAGACAACAACCGAGGCGCCACTGTTGTTGCTGTTGCTGACACCAACAGCACCACCAGCAGCTGCCCCATTGCCACGTCCAAAGGTTTGGGTACCGCCGCCTATGCCCTTGATTTGCATATGCTCGCGCTGCTGTTGTTGCTGCTGTTGTTGTTTGCTGCTGGTACTATAGGCGACATTGGCCAAGTTATCCGCAGCCTTTTTGCCATCCATAGCCATATTATTGAGCATACTGCCACTGCCACCTCCTTGTTGCGACTGCTGCACCGCCGTGTTGCCGCAAATGTGTGGTGGGGGCGGCTTCCCAGCCTCGTTGGCTGCTGCGGCAGCCGCCTGTAACAGCATGACCGCCTGTCCGCCAGCCTGATCTTGGCCATGGCTCTCCACATCGACAATCACATTGGCGCTCTGCGAATGGCCCATATGATAATGTGCATGCTTAATGGGCTCCGGTGGATATGGCACCTGCTGATGCATGCTGCGCTGCTGGTACTGCTTCTGCAGTGTCTTCACCTCCAGCCGAGTCTTGTCCCGTTGATAGTAAACGCCCGCAAAAATCAGCACATTCAATATGAGCAGGCTGCAGCCGATGGCAATCGTTACGCTCAGCGCTGTCGAATATGCCGCATAACCTGCCGCCTCAAAGCCGGATGCTAGGGTATCAGTCGAGGCATTGGCCAATGTCGTCGGTGAAAATACGCCGCCTCCGCTGCCTGTGTAGTTGCTGCCAATTGGTATACACGTTGTGTACATGTTGTTTGGCTCTACAGTGGTAACTGCAGAACAGAGAGAAGAAGAGATTATGAGAAAAAGTGAGAGGATTATTGCGGGCAATAATTGCATATTAATTTGTGACTTATGCTACTCCTTTGGTTATATGGCTGGCGATAAGATAAGATAAGATATGTAACCTGTAGTTCACTCGCTTTAATATACTCACGATTCGTGTGTTTAAAAATGTCATGAGTTTAATTAAAATATTTTGTACAACGTTTTTATGCACATTATTCTCATATATTTAGTTTATTTATAAGGATGTAGAATGTATTTATAATAACAATTGCTAATCGGGAAGCAGGTGAATTTTTAATTTAACAATTCGACCTGACAGGCTTTAGGAACTAGATACATTAAATTTCAATGTTAAGTTAAGGTTAAGCTGAATCGTGATAAATGCAATGGCCAGAGAGATAAACTGACCGACTACTGTTGGTTAAATCTAGATGAAACTATCTTTGTACAGGAAAATATTTGTTTTGGACGATTTGTGTGCTGAACATGCTTTTGATCTCTAGTTGCCAGTTCTGTTGTATTTATTTCTGTTGTGGCAAGCACGTAAACACAAAATTGGAATGCAAACACCTGCGAGAAGAGATGTGCTTCAATGCTTTTGAAGTTCTCTTGCTTGAAAATGTGTTCAAGTGTCTGAATATTGTTTATTGTTTTTGCTCTCCTCTTGTTGCTATGTTTATGCTTTGTCTCTGACTGTCTCAATGGTGTGCCTCAAGTGCTGTTTTCTCTTTGCAAGACATGTATGTATGTGAGTGTCGATGTCGTCTGTCTTAAAAGTTTTGCTTTTCACTTTTCCAGCTCAGCAAAGTTCTGCACGAAATTAAAGTCTTGTGCAGGTATTTGCATAAATATTTAGAAAATAAACAAACCAGCAACAATAAGCACCCGAGCATTGCCATATTGCTTTTTTTTCCAAAGCCATTTTTTGCCCAAGGGCCAGAAGAGAGCTTTTAATTGCATTTTAAATTCAATTTGACAATATTTTATTGTGTGTCAAAATATCAGCCAATTTGATTCTAGAACCATGAATTATGAATGCTCTAATTATTGAATAAAAATTGATCAAATATAATTTTTTGTTGTAGACCATAAAAAAATTTATACAATTTTGCTTAAAAACTTGTGTCTGAGCACGAATTTCTAAATACGACAGGACCTTGTGAATCGCATGTAAAGATTTTAAAAGAAGTTGTTAGCGCAACATTTGATTTGTTTTGCATTGTTTGTTTTTTATTTGTAACATAAAAATATTCAATTTAAAAAAATTGCGATAAATGGGCAAAAGTAGTTTGGATTTGACAGCTAAAAATTTAGATACAACCCAGTCGCATATTAAATTGAATTGAGATACAGATAACAAAAACGTGAGCTTATGATGGTGCTGAAAAATATTTGTATACGGTGCTGATATACGGGCAACTACTTTTGCATTGCTGGAGGCAGTTACAATCAACAATTCATATTATACCAAAAGGATTTTTTTTGATTGAATGGCACATACTTGAATTATATGAAGCGAATATTGCAAAAATCAAATATGCATTTGAAGGAGCCAAGGAGAGCTGTTTTGTCAATTGTGCTCAAAGCTATTTATTAAGATTTCTATACGCAGATAAGAATCCGCTCGTTTAGAAGTGTTAACGACACTTATTACTTGCATACCATGTTGTACGGCTCGATAAACATACATTCTCAGCGAATCTGTATGTGAATTTTTGCTGGTTTTTCCAAAGGCAATTCTAACCCTAACTAGTGTATGGAGCTCGCCAATGGCCATTTGTATACACTTAACCTGTCACTTGATAGACTTAAGGAGCAAACACTTGTAGGCCCCCCTATGTGCTGGCTGGCAGCCCCTTTGCTGAATGGCCCAGCCAGATAAATTGCGAGTCCTTAGCCACAAAATAGGTATGCACACACACACAGCCGTAGCGCAACCGACCTGTGGTAACTTGGTCGAATATTTTTAAATGGCTTTTAACTAAGCTTTTTATCAAAAACTCTTCATTTTGCATTTATTTCCAAGTTGAAATACGCCTGTTTTGTCATGACAAATTTTCTATTTTAATTCCTTTTAATTTTTATGGCCAAGACCGACCGTTAGATTTAAATTCTTACCGAAGGCAACAACCGCCGACCGAATGCTTTCAAGTACCCTAGATAATTATGTACGAGGACACCAGGCTTGAGTCAGATAACCAAAAGCCCTAAGAGATTGCCTTGGCCTGCTAGATAGAGGCAGCCTAATGTGCCTTTAATTAGTGGAATGACAAAAAACCCAACCATAAAATCAACTTAGGCTGCAAGTGGACACACCCAAACGTCCGCCAACTCCCACCCGCCTTGCCAAGTGGAATGCTTGGCGTGCAAAATGTTTGCAATGCTGCGAAGCTTCAATTAAATAACCTTGCATAAATTAGATATCAGCGACAGCAGCAGATGATGCTTGCCGCTGCCAGGGGGAGTCAGGGCCTCATTTAATATCCGTGCATTTAAGCAGTGATTACCTCAAGAAAGCAGTCAGCCACGAGGCGGTATTTTAATTTGTACCGACTTATTGTAGCTCCTAGTTTGACATTTAATCACTAGACACCCCTCAAAGCTAACCAGCTAATATATTAGCCCGCTTATGTCAATTCATAATCAAAAACTAATGGCATTTCGGCTCAAAGCGTCCTTCTGCCTCGTTTCATATTTTCATCTACATACTACATGCCTTATTCTTTCTGAAAATAGCAGGGATACTTCCTACCCTGAACTAAGTAATATAGAGTTATGCTTCCATCATAAACGATGTTAGCTTCTTATTCTTTTAGGGGAATGCGTAAATGAGTTCAGCGTTGGCTCATAAAACTCAGTTATGTGCTGAATAAAGAATGGTTAGGACTTGTATGAATTGTGATGGGAAACAGAAATACAAGCCGTCAGAAAATTTGTCGCTACTTCATAATACAGCTCGACTAGCACTCAGCCTTTTAATAAAATTTTCTTATATTCTTAAAATGACAATTGCAATAGGGAAGGTGGTGATAGCTATAAAATGAAAGATACTTGATACACATATACAATTCTAGAAGCTACATATTAAGTTTTGTCACACTTTTTATTTACCAAAACTGCTCAAAAAACAGGATTTCGATATTGATTCTAATCGATTATTTGGAAACATATCAAGTTATCGAATATCGAAAATAAGCTCGATCTGCGCAGGCACTAGGAGGACCTACTATTTTACGGCTCTACCTCTTATAGGTTATTGACTATTGATGCTGATCAGGAGAATATATACTTTCTGGTGTCGAAGATGCTTCCTTCTGCCTGTTAAATACATGTGCACAAATAAATTATACCCTTTTTAACCATTGTGACCCATTAAAAATAAAAAGTATGAAGAAATAAAAAAGAAAACTTGAACCTTCAGCACATTTCTCAAGCTGTCACCACCAACTTCAACTTCAACTGCAGAACGGTTCTTGTGCTGTTCAACATTGTTGGGTTTTCCGATTTCTGCTCTCGCTTTGTTTACGGAGATTTTTCTCCAAGGATATTTCGGTTTTCAGTTGCTTACAACTGTGCCCATTTCGTTTTATATTTTTGCTACGACTTGGCTTATTTGCGTTTGTCTCCGGGCCAATGTCACGAAGCTGAGGAGCTAAAGTCTTCTTCTGGGAGTGCCTGACTACAAGATACTCTTAACCCAGCGTCAAGCGACCGTTACAAACATTCAAGAGTACTGCCTGCATACACAAAAGAGGCGGATGTGCTTCTTGGGAAGTACCTTCTTGAAAACTTTAAAATTACTTTAGGTTTAATTTTTGGGAGGAATGAAGGTAGTTTGATTTAGTAGTTTACATGCTCGTTGCGTTCACACTGACGGTCGATCTAGCTTTTCGTCTTGATCAAGAATATAGAATATAGATTATATGACTGTTACATAAATTTGCACACAGTCGTTATGCCAAACGACAACAACAATGACAGTGGTAGACCGGGGCGCGTAGCTGTCGCAGTCAGCGTAAATGAAAGCCATGTTAGAGTAAGTCGAGTCCGTATGACATTAGGACACTGTCGCTATTGCCATCTCTCTTGCTCTGTTTCTATCTCTTTTTCTGTTCCTCACTCTTTCAGTCTTTCAGGGTATGGGTGCTGGTGTAGCCGTGTTTTGTGGCTTGGCCTGGCCTGGCGTAACCCTGAGTGCCAGTCACTGCGTCCTTGACTGTCAGGCTGTCAGCTGTTTCGCTTTTCAGGCATTTTATCATTTTTCATCATTTAATGCTGTGTTTGCAACGAGTTTTTCTCAACCCTTTCAGTGTGTATTTTGATAAGTTTCTTTTGATGATGCAGCATTCCTCCCGCTTGCACTAATTGAAAGGACTATTTTGTATATTCTCGCTGTTGGATTATTCCCGCACATACTTCATCCCATCTCAGTTGATTCAGTCGCCAACCACAAGTCGTTTAAGTTCGTCTCGGCTCTTAGTTCTGAGCCTTTGTGGCGCTGTTTTAGTAACTAGCTGTGTTTTTTCACAAAGTCGTCTCATGTGTTGCTTGCCGAATATATGTTCATAATAAGTATAAAAGTTACAAAAACAAATTAATTTAAATACTGTAGCAGACCCTATTCGTATTTGGGGTGTCTGTCTTCTCTCAGTCGCTCTCTATGAAGTATGCTATCTAAGATTTAAGAGTCTTTCAGAGCGAGAGACTTACAAATTGAAATGTAGTTTATTCTATAGAGCGTGTAAATCAATTTGTTTTGCTAATTATCGACAGCTCGAATTCTCACGAAATCAAAAATATCGATTTTCTGAGCATACAAAAAAGTTAATGAATAGTTTCCCGTATAAGGTACACTGACCAGAATAGAATCAACTTAATTTTAAATGTACACATAGCACTTATACACTTTTTTTTTTTAAATCAATAAATATCGAATAATTGAACATATAAAGCAGGTTGAAAGATGGATAGCCATCCCTCCAAATTAAATAAGGTTCATAGGTTTTGCCCCTAAGCACACTCAAAAAACTCAATGCTGCTTATGTGCAAATTCCAGAATTTCCGGGTACTCCCACGGGCAATTTGGAGCGTAGATCACTTTTAATTTAAACAACTTAAAAGGCAAGTCAGCTTCAGAGCAAATCCAAAACGCAACTGCCATCGTGCTCATCCACGTCCACGTCAGCGCCATCGTCGGAGGTCCTGTCATCTAATGCATATTGCATCGGCCAAACTCAAACTGAGGGCGAGCAACAGCAAGAGTTTTGTTCGAAATTGACTGTCTTACTTTTGACTTTGCGATAAGCGAACAGCTGTCGAAGAGGTGGATACTTGCCACGCCCGCCAACAAGCACCGGATGCTTGTTTGAGTTGCATGCGACGTTGCCAACGTTGTCGCTGTTGCGTCGCAAAGCTGCACAGCTGGTGACTTTGAGTATATGAAAAAAGCAAAGACCATCATCAAAGTTTGCTGTTAATTTAGGGTAAGTGTTGAAAAAGTTCACAACGAGTTTTATATAAACTGGTTTAATGAGTTTTTTGCAACTTGGGCGGCAAGTGAATAGAAATTATGCTCAAGTGGTTTGCATTTGTGGCAGACCCAAACGCGTTTAAGGATAAGCACACAAGCCGAACATATTCCAAACCCCGAAAAGCAATGTAAACGAGATATTTTTGCCGTCTTTGTCTAGGGCGACTCGCCCAAAAGACAATATGAAACTGTCTACATGGCACATATACACGGTGGAGCCAATACAGATTACAATTGAGTTCAATTTCAAAAGTCAGCACTCGACACAATACAAAGGCCAAAGGCGGCCCGTATGGACGTAACTTCTATAAGCAAAGGCACAGCTGGGGTCGAGAGTCGGATCGTTTGGTCACACAAATGGAAACATCATGGTTCCGGCACACACATATTCAGACACAAAGTGCCAACTTTACATTTTGCTTTTTAACTTGACAGACCACAAACTGAAGTAAACACTGTCAGACTAGGCCCACACTCCTTTCAACTAAACAAATCACCTTGCTCCATCCCCCTTAGCAGCTATAGTGTTGATTTTAAAAGCAATGTCCGTGCTTAAGTCCCAAAAAAACAAAATACCAGTAAGCTTAGCAACAATTTGCCCAACGATCTCGCATTTGCTGACCAGTCACAACCCATTGCCCCATAGGCGTATGCATAGTATTTGATTTGTCTCCTTTTCTATTTCCTAACTGTACATTTGTACCTACGGCTTTTGGTATAGGAAAAGACTAGACTATATTTTTTGGTTGATAGGGCTGTCATTTTTATGTATTTCTTAGTTTTCTACTTTAAAATTATGAGTACGACCGGCAAGTTCAGTTGACTGTTAATCTTATCTCATTTCACATTCCACCAAATAAAAATATCTGATTAAGTGCAGCATTCAAAATATATATTCTTATTAATTAGCATTTACGCTCTGCAATGTAGTAGTTAATAACATATATGTATAATATGGCAGGTTTTTTTTTCCAAGAAATTAAAGTCTAAATGGGTTGAATTTCTGACCCAGGCTTTAACAATCAGTTACAGCTACTGCTACTGGTTTTTTTACTTTGACTTGTCATAGCTACGCTTTAAGATTGTCATTTTGTTTTTCGGAGTTAAAGCGTTTGACAAGCACATTACTTTATGTGGGGTTGTCTATTTGTCAGTAGCTGAGGAGATAACCTAGACGACTGTTGGTCTTTTATTTTCCACTGCCAATTACTAAAAGCTAAAGTTACACAGCAAATGGCATGGTTATTTGTATTGTATAGGGGTACTTACCACCCAATATGCCATTTAAATAGGTCGAGGCATTCAGGCCGCGTCCTTTCTTCAGCATCAATTGCTCATCTATAAGCAGGAGGCGCGACGAGGATGAGGATGAGGCAGAAGATGACGATGATGTTGTGCCTGTTGAGAGCCCAAATGGATCTGGCTTCACCGGTCCCTCGTACAATTCCATATCGTCGTGATTGCGAAATAGATTGTGCCGTGCTATCACATCCTCCATACCAGCTCGATGTAGCTCGGGTATCAGACGCAGCCAAATGGAGAGTTGGTGAGCGCGAAAGTGATTCTTAATGCGCGGCTTCATGCCTTTCAGATGTTTGATACGTGTGTTGACGTTTAGGAAACCAACAATGAAGAGAAAACAAGAAAAAAACGAAAACAACAGCGTTATATAAACAATGTTATTTCCTTGCAAGGTGCGGTATTCATGCATGCATAGTCCAACAACTGGCAACTATTTCAGTTCCTAACTGTTCATGTTTTAGTTGTTGAAGTCTTCTTCAAGAAATTTGCATGTCAGAAAGGTAAAATACATTGTAAATTAGGACGTCTTATTCGCATTCAGTTTGATGTCTTGTTTATGTAACTGACTGAGCTGTTCAATTTTTGACGCCTTTTGCTGGGTCACAGGGTGGAGGTTTTTGTCTTGGCTAAGTCTGTGATTTAGGTGTCAGCTTTTATTTTACTTATCAAATTATTATTTATACGCATTAAGCCATTGAGCCATATAAAATGATTTGTTTCTGCAGTCTTTTTACTTTATTCAATCTTTTGTTAAAACTATTTTATTAAAAAGGCAAAAGGGTTAATATATTGCAAAATTTCTTCTATTAATACGTATATACGTATAAATACTTGGGTTGGAAGTGTTCTACTACTTCGCCTTTCTTTTGGCCTATACATAATGTGTTTATACCCTGAACCCATTAAAAATGGGTAATAAACGTATAATGTATTTATGCAAATGTATTTAACAGGCGTAAGGAAGCATCTCTGACTGCATAAAGTGAATATATATTTTTGATCAGCATCAACAACCAGGTCGATCTAGCCATGTCCGTCTGTCTGTCGGTCCGGACATGTATGAAAGCAAAGATTTCAGAACCTATAAGAGAGACTTGAAATTTGCTACGCAGGTCGACGACACAGCAAATCCTCTTCCGAGCTTTTTATACCAAGCCACCCACCAACTGAAAGAACACCCGCTCGAATTTGAGAGGTTGGCATTTAAGTGGTGAATTGCCATCAACAGGCAAAAGTCGCCTCCAAGGCGAACTCACCACCCCAATAAACTGACAAGAAAACTAGGTTAAAACGCTAGCTTCTAGAATAGCATATATATCAAGTATCTCTTATCTTACAGCTAACACCACCTCCTAGCTAGGCTATAAATTTCCCCCCACTGACAAAAATAGCTGTGAACAGGGGCACAGCTGGCCGACACCTCCATCAGTCGGTGATACTATTGGAAATTGTGTACTCCAACTATGTGGCACTATGTACATATGTAATAATGTATTGAATCATTCGTATTCGTAGTTATCTTTGATCGGCCCTAGAAAGTTGAACAAGGGACAACAATATAGAACCCATAATTGTAGGGCAACATTTGTAGAGTATCGGTAAATATAAGTCCACTTCCATTAAGATCACCCCCTATAACTTATTTGTATACATTAAAGGTGTGTTCGAAGTATTTGGCAAGCAATAATGTTGTTGCCTAGTTTAATCAAAAAAGTCCCTGTTCTTAAATCCTAAGGAATAATGATCCTTTTTAGTTTATTTTGTTTTTGTTTTGAAATAGTTTCTCACCTATTTCCAAATACTTTTGATGCAATGGATCATAATTCTCCCATGTGATACTGCGAAAACGATTGCGTTCCTTTGAAACGGGCAGCACAGAGTCCTGGCGATGATGCTCGTTCGGGTTGCTAAGGGAGGGGAAAAAAGAGTACAAAAGAATGTAGAAAAGTTTAGTGGATTGTGCTTAAGCAAATTCTGCACGGCCGCCACAGTCTAATTGTTTTTGCCACTGCTATTGCTGTTTTTATTCATGCATGCATTCATACAAGGTAAAATAGTGCCACCTTTGTTTCATAAGAAGTGTCGCTGCAGCTGGGACCAGTTTCTCCACACAGACAATCATCACTAAGTGCTGCCCATGAAACAAGTGCTTAGAATAGCGGAAGTAACTTCTCTCAGATGACAAATTAAGGTAAGTGGCTTAGCACTAGATGCGAATGAGTAAATGCAACTACTTAACTTACCCGGTGCGCGCAAAATTTGTCCAGTATATCATCACGGCCTCTGACAGCGCCATCTCCGACTTGGTATAGTTCTGCGGGAAGTGGCTGAAGCCGTCAACAAGCGGCGCACCAAAAATGTACGGTAAATCTTCACCATGCACCGTTCCCATGCGCTGCGGATAGTCGCCATCTTTGGTCTGGTAGTCGAACACGTAGAAATAGCATCGACCCGATGGCTGTGTCGAAACTGGCAAAGTCGAGGCGGCCGCGTTTGCTGCCCCACTGGGCATCGCTGAGCTCACTGGCGGCTGCGAATTAGCTGCTAAAATGTCCCCAGTGCGTACTATAGGTGCCACGAACTGAGCATCGGATAGCGCTGCTACAGCCGTATCACGTGTGTTAATCGGATGCTGGGAGGTGCGATCCCAGTCCGTGTACTCGTTGACAATCTGTGCACGGAATTGTGATTTATAAATTTATTTCGCAGATAAGCATATTTATTTTAACCAAAAGGATAGTTGTCACCGAACGATTAATTCACCACTTGCCTGTTGGAGTCATTCCAGAATAATTATCTCTATATATAAAACTGTTTGTCCTGACTGACTGATTGGTGATCAACGCACAGCCGAAACGGTTAGGGCTGCTTAGAAAGCTGAGTTACCTAATGTGATGAGGGTGCACATTTAGACGGGCTTTGGGAAAAAAAAAACAATAACAATACCCTTGATAAGGTTCGAAATCGCAACAGACCGAGCTACTTGTCGCCGCCTCTACCTAACATCCACAGCAATTATTAATCCTCAATGAGAAAAAACTGATTAATATAGCAGCACAGAAAACAATACAATCGCAATTGCAATGCTATTTATAGAATTCGAAGCAGACGCGCATAAATGTGTGTATTCAGAAATTCCAGCCGCAAGCAAGTGGGCTGGCTAAACACATTTTCTAATGTGTTTCTAAGCCGACCTTGATGAAATTTTTAACGGTACATCTTATTGTTCTATAATATATTTGTGTATTCTCCAATGACAACTGCATTTAATTGATTCTTATATTCATGGGCTATGGAAGATACTTGATATGTGTAAACTATTCTAGAAGCAACATATCAAGTTTGGTGACTCTAACTCTTATTATTTACCGTATTTGTTTAAAAAAGAGGATTTCTGTATCGATTTTTATCGACTGCTTGAAATTGGGGCAAGTTTCAAGTCATTAGCTCTTATGGGGTTTGAGAACCGAGCGTTCACACATACGGACAGACGGACAGACGGACGGACGGACAGACGGACAGAAAGACAGACATACATGGCTAAATCGACTCGGCTATTTATACTTTATGTGTTCGGAGATGCTTTCTTCTGCCTGTTACATATATTTGCACAAATACATTATACCCTTTTTGCCCATTTTCAATGGGTTCAGGGTATAACAAGAATATCATTTCAGCAGATGCATTTCTTGAGCTTTCGACAGAAGTACTATATGTACTCGTACTGTATACTATATATACATACTATATACATACATGGACACAATATGAATGCATGACACTATTGAATGCAGTACAAACCTCATCGCGGAATTGCAACGGGCTTGACATTTGCTGTTGGCTATGTGCGAATATAATAAAGTAAAATAAATACAAATGTATGCTCTATAATAGTGATATATGCGTTGGTAATTTACGGCTTCTTTATATACATATTTGTGTATATCTGTGTATATGTGCTTTAAGTGTGCACACAGATACAAACGTGTACTTGGTTTTAATATGGCAAATGGCGACAACGTCAACTGGCGTTGATGATGTCTCTAAGGGTAGGGGTGGGTACGACTCTTGTCGTTAGATGCGGCTGTTGCTACTGCTTCTTCTACTGCTGCTGCCGCTGCTACGGGCACTGTGATTTGGGTTAAGTGTAGCCTATTCGTTTTTAAGTAGGTGTGTGTGGCATGTATATATCTACATATAGATACATACCTTCCTATGAATGCAAGTCTCAGTGTCCTTGCCAATGCACACACCCAAACATACATCTACTGTTTATAGCAGCCTTATACATTTGCCAAATAAAGCGTGTTAATGCTTTAGCTGTAATAGCGCGGCAACTGCCTCCCATTTTGCTAGCATTCACTCAACCTAAAAAAAAAAAACCAAATAAAATAAAAACAAGTAAAAAGTTCTAATCGGGAACTCCCGACTAGGGAATACCCATCTCATTATCAAGGTAAATAAAATAAAAGCAGGCTTCGAAATCGCAACTGACCGCACCAATTGCCACCGCATCTACTCGACAGCCACATCAATAATTGAGTCCTATTGAGAATAAAACGAATTAAAATAGCACCACAGAACACAAGACAATCCCAATTGCAATGCTCTTGATTGGATGCGAAGCAGTCGCGCATGAATATGTTTGTAAATGGTTATAGAAATTCTTGAAATTTTCGCATGCTGCGTTCGCAATTAAAACACAACTTTTGTGTGTTTCTTAAGCGATCTCAATAAAATTTTCCACAGTATATCTGACGATGGGTATAAAAAGAAAGATACTTGATATACTTATATACACTATGCTAGAAGAAATATATCAAGTTTGGTGATTCTAGCTCTTATTATTTACCCAACGAATGTAGACGGACATGGCTAGATCGACTCGGCGGCTTTGATCGCCTTTTAATTTGATGTAATAATTTGTGCCAATTGTTTATGTAAGCATATAAAGAATAAACACAATTTGAAATCAAAACCACAAGCGCAGAGAAACTGCATTCTGATTAGTAGAATTGTGTGACCATATCCTCCGCGTTTCCCTTGCTGATCAAGAATATATATATACTTTATGGGGTCGGAGAAGCTTCCTTTTGTCTGTTACATACATTTTCACAAAAAGATTATGCCCTTTTTACCCACTTTCAACGGGTATGAAAACAACACCAGTAAATAGAATGAAATGCTGGAAAGTTGCAGCTCATATACATAGATGAAAAAAAATGCAGCCTGTGCTTGTGCTTATTTGTAGCTGCGGATTTTACTCATACGCACTGTGTTACAAATAGGTACTTCTATTTGCAGCAGAACTCTCGCAGAGCCGACCGTGCAAACTTTTCTATTCTGTGTTATTTTCAAGGACACGATACGTTTTTAATTGAATGCAACAATGAAAGTGATATCAACAAAAATAACTTGAACGTTAATAATTGAACTTATAACATTTAATTTTATTAATTTTTGGTTGTGATATTGGAGAAGTTTACATCCAACAATAATCGCTCTAACGGTTCGAGCCGAGCTTTAATCGCCAATTAGCCATTCAGTAAAAGGGTTTTTTATATTGGCCTTATAATGTGCTTTAATAATTTGTGCCAATTATTTATGTAAACAAACTTATAACAAAGAAACACAATTTGAAATCAAAACCACAAACGCAGCGCAGGAAAGCTGCATTCTTATTAGTAGAATTATGTGACAGAATGCAAACCACATCGTCCGCGTTACCCTTGCATGGCAAATGGTGAAGTTAGTCGGGGATATTTATGGTACTTATTTAGCGTACTTACCGTATAGAATATCTCATTAAGGTGGTAGTTGTAAGCGTTGCGCACATAAGTGCGTATAATTTTATCGCGCCTCTCGCCCTCGAAGCCATTTTGTATGTCATGAGCGCTGAATCGCCAAATCGATTCGCCCGTGACAACGCCAAAGAGTACGTCATAATGGCCGCCAATGTTGGCCGTGGCAGCCGCCCCACCAAAATAGCCAGTGCCACCGCTAAAAGCAGATCCAGCACCAGATCCACCGCCGTTGCCATCGGCTGCCTGGGCACCACCATCGGCCGATGAACGCTTCGAGTTGCGCGTCATTAAATCATCGATATCGAGACTAGAATGTCCGGGTCGTATGACAACGCCATCAACCTAAATTAAAATCGAGAGCCAGAGAGAAAGCAAACAAAGAGAAAAGTGAATCAAAAGTTAAAAGCATTCAATTTTATCTGTACTCGAAATACATTTCTCAGGAGCGCCAAAAAGCAGTTGAAGTAAATAATAAAGTCTGTTCGGGCATTGAGCTGAGCCAAAAAGGTGGACAAACGAAAATCGGCGTGAAAACATGTCAATGCCTTAACCCATAACAACACAAAAGGCAGATACTAAACAAGAAACAAGCACATTTCTCGAGCAATTCATGCAGAAGGTCTCGAAATGCAAGACGGTGGCCAAAATGTGAATTCTTATCCGGGATAAACTTAAGCAAAAGTCATTAATAGAGTCCACCTTACTGCACAATTCAATGCCACAAGCAATACAGGGAGAACTCTGGAAGTTTTTAAGCTCATACGATAAAGACTGCGATAAAGATTTTTGTATAAAATATTTCTTTTGAGAAACCTGAAATGTTTATTTTAAGGTTTCTCATAGTTTTGATTACAACTTACCGAAGGCCCAAACGAAGTAAGGAAATTTGGTGCCTGTATATCGGCGCTATATAAATCCTCCAATGGCACATCTCTCAGACAATCGACAATTTGCTCATGGTTTCTATTCAAATCGTCTGGTATGGTGCAGTTCACCTCTTTGGCAAGCTTAATGGCAAACAACACTGGATCCTCGACCAGGGCCCATGACGAATATGCTGATCCAGACATGAGTATGGCCCGATGGAAGAGTCCACGCACCATTGTCGGCGAAGTCATCAGATAATTGATGCAGGCCGCACCTGTGCCATGACCCGCCAAGGTAACAACATTTGGGTCGCCGCCAAACTTTTGTATATTCTGCTGTATCCAATGCAGCGCCGCCATCTGATCCATCAGCCCATAATTGGCGACACGTGCGTGGACATGCGGACTGGGATTCGCATTAAGAAAGCCTGTCAGTGGGCAGAGGGAATGGACAGGAAGTTTCCGATTAATTATAAATTGGGCCATAGCACACTTGCATTCTTCTTACCCAGTATACCCAGTCGGTAATTAAGGGTCACGACAACCACTTCACCATAGCTCGCCAGCACACTCCCATCGTAGGGATTGCCGCTGCTCCACTCAAAGGACTCGCCGTGTATGAACACGATGACAGGCAACTTCTTCTCATTAGCGCCAGCTGTTGAAACAAAAGGCAGAATTGAGCTATTGAACAGGTTTGAAAACACAGAAACTCCTGAATATATATTCGGTGAATCTAAATAGCATGACTCTTTTGATTATTATACAAATCTGTTTTCTGAAATATATTTATTTAAATATATTAAAAAAGAAGAATTATTAGTCATATTATAAAAGATAAGTTTTAAAATAATAATAATTGCGAAAAATATAATGTCCAGGATCTTTACACTTTGTGTTCTACCACAAGTTAAGACGGGGTCTTAGGAAATTTCACAAGTTTGAATAAATCTTTTTGTTACCATCGGATCGGCTTCAAGCTCATTTTCAAGGATGTTTGTTTAAATTCATTTGAAAAGCGTTTCACACTTTTCGAAGAATCACGTTTCGCGTTCAAATTCATTTCCAAGTATAAATTGAAAAACTCATTTGAGAGGTGTTTTTACACTTTTATAGAATCCAGGCTTCCTTTATATAAATGCGATACAATGAATTTTAGGAGAAGTTTTATGCTTGCTTCGATTTGCATCAAACTTATTTTCAAAACTCTAAATAAGAACTTAATGAATACGGTTTTCAGCGATTTGGGAAATTTCAATCACAACGGTGGCTAATTAGCGAAACCTGTTGTATGAAAGAGTTTTGGTTACAATCCGATCGGCTTCAACATTTTCAATGATCTTTCTTAAAACTAGTCTGATGGGTGTTTTGCACTTTTTCGAAAATTCAGCCCTCTACGGTTTTACATCACAAAGCTCCATTCAAAGCCCTACAAAATAACTTAATGAGTAATTGCTTCAGCGATTTTAGAAATTCCATTTAACACTGTGGTAAATTGGCTCTATGAAAGTTTTTTTTTTAAATTTGAAGCCCGTACGGCTTTAAAATTAATTTCAAATGCGCCCTTCGTGAATGATATATGCTGGTGTATATATCCAATTTTTTTAGCACAAAACTGGACACGGGCAATACCGGGTAATACCCGCTAGCATATGTATATATAAATATGCTCTCGCAATGTGTGATATCATTCCGACTATACTAGGTTCAAGCGAAGCCCTAAAGATAAGTAATTCATGGTATCGCCAAAGGTTTTTGCTCCCCAACTTTGGTTTCCGCCAGCATGACTTTGGTTAAACCAGTTGAATCGATAAAACACTATTAAATTTTTTATGTTCGCGTGCGAAGCTGATTTTAAATCGTTTTGAGTTATATACGATATAACACTCTCTAAAGAGTGCCCAGGCCCAAGATCTTGAGATAAGAATTGCCAATGGCTGGAGTCCCTTTGGAATTAGAGAATTAAATTGAACGATATTGGGAGCACAGCCTACTTCTTACGAATTTTTAGAGGCCGACATGGTTTTTTAAATTCATTTGAATGATTTGAATAAGACCAAAGGGATTAAAAGCATGCAGCGTATATAGAGTCGATACCCTAAGTGATATGTGGACTATAGCTACAAGCCATTAATTCGTTCCCGACTATTAAAAATAAGCTTTCCAAAATATGTTCGGAAATTTGGTATGTTTATATATTGAAAACTATTTAAATTCATTCATTGAAATAAGCTGTTTATATATATCAAGTTCTATGATATCGAATAATTTCAACTAAAATTTCATAAACCTTATATTTAAAAACTGCTTTAATTGAGCAAGCTGGATATAAATTTTTAAGATCTATCATTAATGTTTTTCATATATTTAGATCGTTTTATATCATATACAATTATTAAAACTAGAATTGAACTAAAATAAATCATACTTTAGGTCTCATCATAAAATTAAATACGATCATATTTTTTGGCTTACCATTAACGGGTGAAAATATATTTAAGTACAAACAATCTTCGGATTGATTTTCCAAAAATGGCAGCAATCTTTTCAAGTACTCTAAGCGACCTTTCGGCATCTTCTCCAAGGCGGCGGTTTCATTTTGGATATTGGGCAATCGTTGCGGGCACACTGGACTGTATTTGTCCGAGATGCGTATCCCATCCCAGGGCGCTGGCGCACGCGTTGGGCTAAAACTACAATACATATAAGTAGATAGGCATTAAGACGGAAGGGGATAAATCGATTAGAGTTATAAATTATTTTTGGCACGCACCGGTTTTGTTTGGTTGGAGGCGTGGCATAGGGCACACCAAGGAACACTTCTACCGAGCGTAGGAAGCGAAAATTGTCCAGGGGCAGAATCATACCATGTAAGCGGCCATAACGAGTTTGCACTATGCGATGGCCCGGTCGGGCACCGTTGTAGACGTCGTGCGTTGAGGCTGAGGCGTAACCCAACCAGCCATTAAGTGCAGCCAAGACCAGCAGCATCGGCCACAGCAGTCGAGACTGCAGTGCCATCTGTTGGCAATGCCACATAGTCAGCGCGTTCAACTTCTCGTCAACAAATCTTTAGTATCTTTGGAATTTGTTCTTAACGCTGTTGCACGGAACCACAGCTTTTCGGAATCCACTATCTATTGTTGATTGTTGAGCTGGCTTGACCTTGATCGTCAGCTTCCAAATGCAATGTGTTCATCTTTCTGTAGCTGTCCTCGGGCTGAAAGGTTTAGAATTTTATAATTTTTATAAAACATTAGATTTAATTTGACTAATTAGTGAATTGTTCGAAGATTTTTTTTTTTTTTTTTTAAGTTTATCTTCATGTCATAGTTATAAGTGTTGGGGGCTTCTCTGAGAATGAGTGTGCAGAGTTACTAAAACCAATTTCCACGCTTGAGTAGCAGTACATATTCGCAGATTAGCAAGCGACTATAAAGCTGTATGCGCTGAGTGGCTGCTTATCGGTTTTGGTGGAATAAACATATATTTCCCCACAGCTATTTATTTGTAATACACTAAATGGCTCTCAGTTGGACTTAAATGCTTGCGCGAAAAAGTTTGTGAACATGTGCGCTCGCTTTGCTTGGATCCTGATGTTCATGATGATCAAATCAATATATAGTTTCGGACATTTTACATGTGAAGAAGACGGAATGAGCAAGAAGTTAAGTTTAGCCTGTAATGGCGATAAAGATTGTTCCCATGGCAGCGATGAGTCATACGTGATGTGCAAAGAGCTGGTTGAAGCATCCCCACACACATTCTTCTGCGCCTATGGAGGTCGAATTAGTCAGTATAACCGTTGCAACGAAGTGCCTGAATGTGCCGATGAATCTGATGAATCTGCCAGTCTATGCGAGAGCGAAAGCCAATTTAATAAAACAAAGAAAGGCAACTGTACAGAGTACGTCAAAAAATAAATCAACACAACATTTCTACCTCGATCTTAAAAGATCCGCCAGGAATTCAGATGCAAATTTAGTTCGACAGGGTGCGTAACTGTGATAGCTTTAGATGATTGTGATTCACACCTAGGGACATTGCACAAATATAATATACTATTTCTCACGTTGTAGAATAAGCCATAGTTTGGGTCGGTTTTTAGATAATTAATGGGAATAATGTGTAGATTTTCACAGAAATAAGCAATAATAATAATAATTGGTTAGTGCTATGGAATTAATTAAAACGTAATTTTACAAATTGAAAAATACAAATTTTACTCAACATATCCATCGAAATGAGTTAAATACTCTAGTCGCGAATGCCTGTTTTGTGTACTTGGATTTTTTAATTATGGGTTTGTTGCGGAATATCGAGACTGGGCAAGCTATCAAAGGAAAGGTAATCAACTTGATCTAATAATCCGACATGGCTGGTTCAAAGACAATATAAACACTGTTTATATATGTGTTTATATTGTCTTTGGCTGGTTATCAGCTATTGCTGATCAATGATCATAATTACTTAATTATTTCTAAGCAGAAGTGAACTTAATGTTTCAATAATACACATATTCAGTATGCAGATAGGCGCATACATCACGAATTATAAAACAAGAGAATTCTGAATAATATGTATCGAAAAGATCTAAAAGTCGATCAATCAATGTCCATTATCGATTTATGAGTAGTAAATTTTAGCCGTCTTATTGCAAACAGATAGGTGGGGCTAAAATGCATAGTACATTTATTAGTACAAGTTCTTTAAACCATTTCTTCAGCCGAGTTATGAGAGACAGTTGAACTTTATTTGCAGAGGTGAAATGGAATGTCTGTCCGGGGATTGCCTTCCAGAACAAAAAATGTGCGATGGGAGGAACGATTGCATTGACGGGCGGGATGAGTCTGTGAATTTATGTATGAAACTTTTTAAGTCGGGTCATTTTCAATGCGCTAATGGCAACCTCATTGAAAAAAAAAAAATCTGCGACAATATATTCGATTGCCCCGATGGCTCCGATGAGTTGTTAAAATTCTGTGTTGATAATAAGGATTGGATACGGAACCCACCAAAGACGTGTGTGGAACCAACAGAGAGAGGACTACGATTTACATATGACACAAAGTATCACTTGGCGAACGGAACCCGATTCGTTTATGCCAATCAGGGGGTTGTCTTTGAGTGCTACGACCGCAATGCTAAAATAATTGGTAGTAAGTGGAACGTATGCCTATATACGGGTGAATGGAAAAACCCTCAGATAGAATGTCAATCGAAGCCAGTGAACAACAATCCCAACACGAATGGAACGAACGGATGTCCCATAAACACATACGTCAAGGATCTTTTGCTGATCTATAAATGCGTGGATGGCAATTGCTTAACACGGGTGGAACCGCCTATAAATGATATGAGAGTACAGTTTGCATGCGCGAAAGGGTACTTATTGACACCACTTGGCTTTGGCGAAAAGATATTGAGATGTTTACATAAGCAATGGGATTCGAATAATGTCTACTTCACGGACCCAGTCTGTAAAAGTAAGTTTATTTCCTTAGACATAAAAACTGTCTCTCCCGCTTGATGGACAGGCCAAGCCGTGAGTGCTACAAAACCGAAAATTTTGATTGAAAATTCCACCCGCAAAGTGTTTTTATCATATTGAAAGATACTTATCAAAGTTAATTTGAGACGGGGAGCTCAGGGTAGTATGTGTTGGATATTGACAAAAGTTAATTCGATCCCGTCCTGCCTAAATAAAGGCATTCATGTTTCAATATTCCCGAAAATGCAGAACTTTTTAAAATTTCTAATGGATGACGAAACATCGGAATCTATGTCATATTCTCTCATGTTGTTCCCATGCTGCAGTTATGCAGGAAAGTGGAAAGACCATTATCAAAATAAGATGTATAAAATTTTAAATTTGAACCATATATGCTATTGCTTATGTAAATATTGTTTTAAAATGCCATTTCTAATAGTAATTTATTTAATTTAAACAGAACCATGTAATCGGATTAACTTATACTGCAGTGATTCAATGTATCCGAGGTGCGAATATAATGGTATTGAGAACTATTATTGCAATGGGACGCTCTTGCCAGGCACTAAAGCCATATATTTCTGTAATTATGGATATATAATTAACCCGAATATGAGTAAATTGCAATTAGAGTGTCTTGACGATGGAAATTGGTTGAATAGCAAAGACATGGATAAGTTCTGTCAACTGAATTGCGGTACAACTGGAGGAGATAAAAATCAATTATCGAAATCTACCAAAGCCCCTTGGACTACAGCACTTTATAAAAAAATAGAAACCAGCTTCGAATATGTGTGCAGTGGGGTCAGGTTAAAACCCAATATAGTGCTCACTGCTGCACATTGCGTTGTCAAGAATAAAACCAAGGAGTTGTTGCCTTTTGATTTTTTCCGCGTGGGCAACTCTAGGAGTAATCTCCGTATAATCCATGAACATTTTGGTTGGGCGGTTGAGGATGTGATTCTGCATTGGTGAGTAATTCCCAATGTGGCCTATAGAATATTTGAATTCAGTCGTTATTTATTTAATAAGTCTTTTATTTTCCATTAAGGGCTTATCTTCCGGAATATTTAAATGGGGATATCGCTCTGCTAAAACTGAAATACAACACCAAAGACGTAAACGAAGGGCCATGTACCATTTGTTTGCCATGGGCTTACAATAACCATATGACGGAAATCGACAAAGAAAGTGGCTTGGTGTTCTCATGGAAAAAACATGATTCAACGTTTTTAAACCTGACGCTAGTTTCGACTAACATAGAAGAGAAGGAATCGGATGGCTTTCGCATAAACATACTTAACAATCAAAAGATCTGCAGTGGTGACAGTGGCAGCGGCTTCGGCGGGGACTGCTTTGATGAACAAAATCAGAAGACTAACCAGACTTGCGTGTATGGCGTGGTGAGTTATACAAATACGGGGATGGATAATTATAAATGCGCTAAAAATATTGTTGTCTTGGACATACGCCATGCCCAAAACATGGATTTCCTCAAAGAAACTATCAAAAAGCTATCGAAAACTTGTGAAGATAGTTTGTAATGGAATAAACTTTTTTTCAGCTTATAAGCCTACATATTCGTATGTATGTATGTTTCATATATAATTTGTATAAAGTTCTGGCCAAAGCCAAGCAAACTCGTTCTGCGCAGGCACTAGGGGGACCTACAGTTAAGACTGACATAGCTGACATGCTTATCAAAAATATCAATACTGTATGGGGTCGGAGATGCTTCCTTTTGCCTGTTTCCTACATCTGCACAAATATATAATACCCTTTTTACCAAATTTCAATTGGTTCAGAGCATAAAATCGAAATAAGATAGCAGCACATAAAACAATACAATCCCAATTGCAATGCTGTTGAAAGAATTCAAAGCAGACACGCAGGAATGTGTGTGTGTACATGTACTCAAGAAATACAACTCAATAAAAGGAGTCTGTATATTCTGCCTACTCAAGTAGACATCGATGTTCTGATCAGTATTACAAATCAAACATTTCCGATTCGTATAAAGACAATTATATTTTCAATATATGTAAATATTTTTATAGTCCGGAATGCGTAGAGTACTCAATTTCCTAGAAACACTTCGAAAAGTGCGGCCCAAGCCTTGTGTCGAAACCGTTGTCACCGCCAACTCAATTGGCAAGAAAAACACTTCAGCCGGAGACAAGCGCAGCACAGCAGGGCAAATATCCGGCTCACAGGCCGCCAATGAGCGCTGGCAGAATTTGAAACGTGTTCTACTCACATGCGGGGGTCACCAGGAGCCAGAGGCAGCCATGCACATGGGGGTATTAGATGCAGAGGTCCTGGTAGGTGTACTGGAGGCGCAGCGTTTTGTAAGCGATGTTTTCGCGGCCATGGACGTGCCCGACGATGCGGCAAGCGAAATGGCCGATGCTCTCATTGCTGCCGACTACATGGGCCAGCGTAGTATGGGAATTCATCGACTGCCAGCCATTGCAGCTGATCTGCTCAACTTAACGGTCGACCCCCGCATGCAGCCAAAGTTGGTGAGTGAGCGCGATGCGCTGGCACTTGTGGATGGCCAGAATGCACCAGGGCCGGTGGTGGCCAATTTCTGCATGGATTTGGCAATACGCAAGGCGCGGAATCAGGGTATTGGATATGTGGCAGCTCGTCGCTCAAACACTATTGGGATGGCATCATGGTACACCTGCCAGGCGCTCTCACATCGCATGATCGGCATCTGTATGTCAAATGGTCCACCCATCCTTGTGCCCTGCGGTGGGTCTGAGCCCCTGCTGGGTGGGAATTCAATTGCCTGTGCGGCTGGAAGTAAGCAGGAGCAATTCCTTATGGACCTGGGCATGTCCGCTTATCCCATTGAGCAACTGCAGCTGGAGTACTCCAATGGGTATTTGCGCCAGCTGCCCGATTATCTGGCATTGGATAGCAGTGGTAAGCCCACAAACTGTGCCGCGGAGGCGCTGCGTGCCCAGCGCCTACGTCCTTTCACGCCCGAGCACAAAGCCTTTGGTCTGGCTGCCATGGTGGATATACTTTGTGGAGTTATGACAGGGGCTAGCTATGCAACGCATATACGCCATCGCAGCCTGTTTAGCTCAGACAACAAGTTGGCTGATCTAGGCCAGGTCTATATAGCTATTGATCCAATGCGCTTTTGTGTGTCTTTCGAGGAGCGGCTTGCTGACTTCCATCAGCTGCTGCGTAATGTTATACCCTGCGACCCAATGCAGCCTCCATTGATACCTGGTGACAAGGAGTTGCAGCATATGCAAATGGTTGACGATCAAGGTGGATTAATGCTGTCACCTAGTACGCTCAGTGTCATACAGGAGCTTGGCGAGCGTTTTAACATAGATCCTCTTAATCATAACAAGAATTTAAAGTAAATTTCTTATGAGTGCTGAAGGCTACATCAAATGTTTGATGAACAGATAAAATAAATGGCTGAATTTAATTTTTTAGTTCGCATTAGTTTCCTACTACGCACAGAAATCTACAAAAGTGATGTCAAAATAAAAAAAAAAAAACGATGCTGATGGAGCTACGCATTCTAAGTCTGAGCCACGCAATCAGCTGCATCAAATAAGATAAGTCCGAGCCAAGAAATCAACGCAAGCTCCTATCAAGGGTCAGAAATCAGATCAGATCAGTCGCCAAGGTTCTAGTTGACATGTTAGCTGCCAATATATGTACAACACTTTTTTTTTAATATCTTATTGATTTTATTGTACTATAGAATATTTACATCTTCCCAAAAAGTCAATTGCTTTAAAATTAGGCATGGCGTGGGCAATACAAATTGGTTTTTTTACTTGATTTATATCTATGTGATGGTAGGGGTAAAGTGGCGACAGCTGAAAAATGAAAGATACTTTATATATGTATGCTATTTATGAATACTACTAATATTAATTCAACAGCAAGCTGCAATTGGTGTTGGTAGAAGAGGGTGGTGCAGGGTATTCCCTAGTCGAGAACTCTTAACAAAGCCTCTTACTTGTTTTTTAGCTTCGCTGATATTCGTGTTCTTTGGTAATTCTTAACCATTCGCATAATTAGCATGCACAGCCTAGATGTACAAACACACTTTTTTCAATTTGTGGCTTGCGTTGTTGCGATTTTCATTTTTAAACAAATTAAAGTGGAAATTGTTTCTATTGTCTATTTAATCCATGGATATTGATGCAAAGCTAATAGCGGCGTCTTTATTGACAATCGTCCAACTGTTTCGCCTTCTAGTTTGTCAGATGAAAAAAGACGAGTTTATTTATGTAAAATGGTATAAATTGGTTCCAGCTACTTCGAATAAACCCAAGTGAAAGAAAACACCTGCTTGAACTAAATATAGAAAAATTTTGGATATTTATATAATTGTGTGCTCTAGCAGTAACACATAAAAATATTGACGGAAGCCAAATCGATAAAAAGGAAAAAAAGAGAAATCATCTAAATCATTGCCAGAATGATTAATTTGATTTCGACACAACCCTGGCTCAACAGCCCCCGGCCGACATGGCGTCTGAGTAATAAGAGTAAACTTTTTATGACAGCCGTCAACGTGTCCTGGTGTCCTAGTAAATTATGGCACCTTCCCTATGACAGCTCCTAGTTCTGCGTCATCGATAGTCCCAATCGCTGCCCAATTGCTGCCTAGCGTTAATGTTTCTCGGAGCCGACACCTGAGTTCTGATATGACATATACCACAAGCTGCACACGTGACTGAGTGTGTTGTTTAGACTTACGGCACTGTAATCGCTTATTTGTGGCAATGACAAGTGAAAGACGATGTAACAGATAAGTCTCGACGTCGCGACACTGGCGCCTGGTTACTAACTTTTAACTCATTTATCTTTCTTGAATTGATTTTTGTCCTTTGACGCAATGTGTTGTGGGAAATCTCTTGATTGATATGCTAAAAATATGATTATAGGGTGGAGTAGACGCATCAATATTTTCTGCGTGAGAAACACGATTTTTTTTCAAAGTTGACAGATACACACGTATATCATAAATTGGCAATTGGCATTTTGCTTAACAAAGTAAAGAAAGACCAAAAATGTATATTCAGGGAACTTACGTTTTAACTCTTCCTTTGTACCATTTTTAATTTCAGTGACTATATTCAACATTATTGTACCTTTTATTTGAATTATTGTTATATTTGAAATATTTCAAGATAATAACAAGAGGCCTTAGTCGGGAGTCCCCTATTCTACTAAAGTATTTAGTTCAAATAGATTCGGACTCGCAATCCGCACCAGCCCAGAAAACAGGACAATCACAATTGCAAAGATGTTGACTGAATTCAATAAAAACGCGTATGATTGTGTGTGTGTACATGTATGCAGAAATTATTGCGCCTTGCGCTAAGTGTCACCGACAGCAGTAGATCGTTTTGTATTTTAGAATATTGCTTTATTCTCAACAAGTCGTTTGCATTAAAATTGTGGCTCAGGATAGTGGGCAGTATAAATAATCATAGTAATATAATATTTATTACTCCACAAAAATTAATAATCGGTAGTATAGTGACCAATGCCAACAGGTTTTTAAGTTCAATATCTTAAGACCTTAAATTCATCTTTCATTATTCTGTAATCGGTTTATAGTTCTAGCTAATGCAAGTGTGGCCAAAGTTTATGCTCGCGTATATGATATATCTTATAATATTCAGCTTTTTTATGACAAATTATATATTCAATTGTTGCAAACTTGAGTTTTATATTTATATTAAACGAGTTAGCTAATGCAGACATTCGTCTTAAATGAAACATAGCTAAAATTAACCAATTTTACAAATTTATCGACTTTTTCTCTTACATACTCATCATGAGAACCTTTTTACCAGCTAAGTAGTAAGTAGTTAGTTAGTAGTTAGAGCGTGTAGATTAGAACCCCAATTTTAATCAATACCAATAATTCCGATTTCTTAACGATTTTAATTTTAAAATATATATTAATTGTTGTTGGTAGTTTAGATAGATTATTATTATTATCTAATGCAATTGTTAATGTTTCCGTAGGTATAAATAATAAATAATATTTGTATGTAAGCAACTGTGAAATTATCGCGTTGGCTTCTTGCACCTGTTATCAAAATCGCATTTAAAATTCACAGGAATCTGTTAGAAAAACGGGTGTTGCACCTTAATGACGACTTAACGATATGTTATGGACAGCTCTTTGCTTTTCAATTGAAAACTTAAGCTCATTTTGCTTTGTAATGTTTTTCTTTCTGCCCGATTTACCTTGTGAACATTTCTATCTGTTGGTCCTGATGGGCATTACTGACGCTAGCGCTTTTATTTTATGACAACTGCCAGTGCTTGTTGCTGTTATTCCTTTTTCGTTGATTATAATCCTCAGCGCCCTCTTGTTGATTTTATCAAAGTCCGTCCGTGGCCTTGTCGGTCTCCAAAAATCCTTTTATTGTACACGCGCGTAGTCGTTATGCTTGTTTTATTTTTCTTTTTCTTTCTTTGTATATATATTTCTTTTGGGTGTTTTAGGTTTATACACATATACACACATACATATATGAACACAGTCTCATTTTTAAAGATTTTTCTTCTGTTGAATTCGCACGATATAACAAACAAGAATTTCGTTTAAAATTTTTGACATTAAACTTTTTAGCAATACAAATTGCTTTTTTTATGTTGTCACCTATGTGCCACCACGTCAGACGTGGCCTTTGGATGACAGATTTTAGGTCAAATTTTTTATTTTTACACTATTTAAATTAAATGTATTCGCGTTATGAATAGTTGTAATAAAAAAGGGAAACATGATGACAAAGAAACAAAATATATATAGGTATTAAGTCTGAAAGTACTTTTCGTACGAATAAATGAAATTAAAAATATAGATTAAAACAGACATTAATAAATAATTGTTTGCTCAGATTGAATTTAAAGTAATTTATTTTTCAAATATGAAAACTAAAAAAATTAAATTAATTGTTTAAAAATTTATTTAGTTGTATAAGATTTAATTCCAAGAAGGTGGTCAAAATATTGATATGTTGTTGAGGTGCGGCATATATCCATTTTATCTGTGGCTTAATTAATTAGCAATAGCTCTTAAAATTCAATTAAATCAAAGTTGTTTTCGTTGTTAGCAATATGTTCAATTAGCCCTTAAGTATTCCGTAGAAATTCCAAATTTCTCGTCTGTGCTCCAAACACGTGTGTTGACTTTACTTCGTTTGTTCGCGTGTTTATTTTTTTTAGGTGCCTTTGGCATGTTGACTTATTCTAAGCGCAATGATTAAAATTGCATGCAAGGCACAGTAAATAATACAAACACATACAAGCACACACGAAGAGGCATGCAATTGCCTTAATTGAACGCAAACGTCAATGACCGTTAAGTCGGCTGTGCGAGTGTGTTGAGTGCTTGTAAACGGATGTACAAAGCGGATGCATACTTTTGGGCGCCAGTGCCACGCACAATAAGAAGATAACGCGAACCGGTTGGCAAAAGCGACAATTACACGCATGCTGGCGGCGCGGCTTTCTAATGTTAAAGATAACGATAATGCCAGATAAAGCAACGACCCATTCACGCCTAGAAACTTGCAACACTTTTTGTTGATTTCCATGAACGCATTTTCAATTGCCCGCTTTTGCTTGAGCTGCTGGCCCTCTTTCTCATTTGTTGGCATTGGCCGCCTGGTAACTGCAAGCCATTCACAGAGACGGAACACACACACAAGCACACGCACATACACAAAGAGAGATATTGGCCAAGTGCGCGGAGGACCTGGAGCGTCTCATTTGTGTCCACGACGCACGAATGAATTCCAACGACTGAAGTCGAAACCTTGGGCCATCGACTTCGGTGCTGGCTGTTAGGCAGCAGTGGCTGCTATGTGGATTAAGCTTCAGATAGAGAGGGCGCGAGAGACAGAGAGAGAGAGAGAGAGAGACCAATACAGGTGCAGAGAGCGTGCACGCATAGCTGGAAATGGAACGCATTCAGCATGGTGAGCTTTCGCTCTTACGCTTTTCTCTTATATGTCTGTATAGTTGTTTAACCAATGGCTTCTTTTGTTCGTCTCTTTCCCTATCAACATGCTTTTAATACTTTTTCCTCTCTTATTACATACGCATAGAGATTGTGGGTAAGCTGCCAATGGGTCAGGTAATAGTTAAGGGAATGAAATTTCAAATTTGCCGCTATATATAAAACTGTTTCAACGCTATGTGGTGAAAGTACACAATAAAAATGGTTTTCCGGAAATTCCACCCGCAAGTGTGGACAAATAGCGAAAACCTTTTGACTGTAAGTTTAAAAGAAATTGTAAAAATCTTTGTGAAAATGCTTCTGATATGTGTTTCCTCTTTTCGGTTATGGCGTCTTCAATTCTCTGTTCTGTTGTGCAAATGTGCGTTACAGGCAGAAGATAGCATCTCCGACCCCATATAGTATATATTTGACCGTCCGGCCATATGTATGAACAAAAGGAGCCCTGAACCTGTAAGAGCTAGAGACATGAAATTTTGAACTAAGGTCCCCTTTATGTTGGTAGAAGAGGGTTCAGGCTATACCCTAGTAGGGAACTCTCGAGGGAACTGCTTTCATGCACCGCACAAATTATGATAAATATTTTATTCAGATCTTGAGCCCGACCCACTTAAATTGCTGTTTTATGTCGCCAGAATTTGTTATCCCGAAATGAGACTAAAATAAGTGTATAGAAAATCAGAGTAGGTGCTTAACAGCCAAACGTGTCGACATGGTAAATTAAACGCGAAATTAAAGCATACAACAATAAATTATTGCTGGCCTATAACAAATTTTCGACCGGGAGCTGTTGGGCCAAAAAATGAAGCTTTTCCATTTGCTACAAATTGGAAAATGTTTGTTGCCACTTTGCGGGGCACCAGGCAATGCGTACTTTGTAGGTAATGCAGGGCCCAGACTCAAATCACTTGCCGAACTTTAATTGCGCCATTGCAGCTTCATAAAATATTCACCTTGAGAAATTTAACGAAACTTTCACAGGCTGTGGGAGGCGCCATTGTTGCCATCCGGATGACACATCGGGGTTAAGTTCGTATGTCGAAACTTGTTGCTTAATGAATAAAATGAAAATGGATTTTAATTTTATATGACAAGTGAAACAGCTGCAATTGATAAGTAAGGCAAAAGGAACCCGGTAAGAACCGGAACATTAATGGGTTTGGAGTGCGATTCGCAGCGTAGCCTTGCAACGCCTGTTTTTTTTCCCAGTACATTGCGTGTAATTGTCTTTTCAATATCCTCGCAGAGAATTTTATAATTTCGTCGTGAATATATTTACCACTGTTACGGATGGGATTTTCCAAATCGCTGAAAAACGTATTGATTAAGGTCTTACGTCTTACGAGCTCTGAAAATAAGTTTGAAGCAAATCGGATAAAACGTAAAAGTTCCACAAAAAAATCGTAGAATAGCACTTTTTACCAAGGATGGCTTGACTCTGCGAAAAATGAGAAATATGATAGCTGCATATGCACGATAATTGTATGCAAACTTTAGTTTTATTGTTTAATATGTTGATTGTATTGAATCAAAAAAAGCATTAATTTTTATTACATCACAGTTGGCTTAGGTGATGTTTCGCCAAGCCTGGCCAAGGCTTTATCGCGGATAAGCGTCAATATGATCTATGCGTGCTATTTGCTGCCAGAGGTATTTTCCACGCGATCCCTGCCGTTACGTATGCATTGCAAACATTTAAAATCGCCCCCCGCCCTTTCCATTTGTAACCACATACAGTTTATCCCGCCGACAGGCTGATATTAGAATAAATAGAAAATTTGTGGGAATTCTCCACAGGATCATCCGAGTCTCATAGGGCATTCACTTTTGCATATTTTCTGAAAAACAAGTTGAGAAGCATCTAAAATATTTGCAGCGTTCACACAGCAAAAAATAAGTAAATAGTATTGAGCTGGAAGGACGAACGACAATCTTAAAGCATGTGCTTTTCGATATAAAAAGTCTGTTTCCTGTGCGCTATGCTATCACATTATTTTAAGGGAATGAATTTAGCATTAGTTAGAGTTTGAGAAACAGAGATAATGAACTAAATTATTACCTATTCATTTATTTTGAACCACCATTTAATTTTATTAGCTGTAGTGTGACATATAAGTTAAATTTAAATTTTAAATATTTGTCAAAGGCAAACAACCAAATGTCCAAACGTCAAGCTTCAATTAAATATAGGTTTCTGTGGAACTCTGCTCGTCGGAACAACAGCTATTAACAGACCGTCATCCAAAATATTCCTGTCCCCAAACAATATACAATAATAGCCCAAGAGCGCAGCGTTATGCTCAAATGAAATTGATATCATTAAAAATATAGAAGAGCAGACTCATCGGCGGTTGACGCCAAATAAGCAAGACAATGTGGATCCGAGCTGAGCTGTGCTAATAAATGTCCTGGCACTAGAAAACAAAATAGAAGAAAGAAGGCGAATGGCAACAAAAGTAATTGTGAATGGGGCGTGCGCATAACGTAGATGAACAACCGAGTACACTTTGCAGCTGTCGTTGTTAAGCCAGCATAAAAATTTTATTTAATGATTAAGCCAATGTGTCAGTCGGAGGAGAGTCGCCTGAAAGTAGGCAGTGGAATTTATCAAAATTTGCTATCCCACGATGTGTATCCGCAGTGTTGCTGTGCACAAACGCACACACACACACTGGACTGGGACTTTTGAGATTCTGTTGTCCTTGTTTGTCTAACTGCTCGGCGCCAGCTCACACCATAGCCTATTAAATATAACACTCTCGGCTGTCGTTGGCGACATTCATGAATTATTCAGTGCGTAGGCTGTGATCCTTGATATTTCTTTTGTCTTTGTGGCGGCAACAGTCGCCTACGTCTCCTGCCTCATATAATTGTTACTATTACCCTTAATTTTCATGTTAAAAATATACTGTTATTTATTTTAATAGGCTTTTTGTTTAAAAAAACTGTAATTCCTTCCGTTTTTCCCTGTGCTCTGTACTGAACTCATAAAAAAAACTGTTATTCTTTCCGTTTTTTCCTGTGCTCTGTGCTGAACTCATAACCTTAGTGTAACTAACCTGCTTAGACTGCCGGTCAGTCGGAAGTTTTGTAAAAGATTCCTCTGCAAATAAACATAGGCCTATGATTTCGCACACTCCCGTTTGCTTTCCGCGCCCACGAGCTTCGGTTACGATCTTTAAATTTTAAATTAATAATATTAAAAAGCAAACAGACAAATCCAATTCACAAATCTCCCGAGTAGATATTAATCTAATCTAAGTTGTCGTCGGTCAACTGTTAGCCAAAAGTTGTGCAATACGGAAACATAACTGGCAGCTCGTAACTTCCGTCTGCGTATGGGCTTGAGCCACTATGTAAATGCGTATCCTCACATATCTGAAACGTTGGCTCGGTCGCAGTCGCCGCGACAATTCACGGGTACCCAGCTTAAACTTATTTCCGCTTCCGGATGCTTGCTGACTACAATTTGCATGCACCCATGGCGG